TGTATCTGGCCAGAACAGAGTGATGGTGCTGAAGATCTTGTCAAATGGGGCTGGATAGGAAAACAGGGAGTGAGATACCAGGAGATGTTTGGATTTACTTATAATGTTAATAGAACCCATTATGGGCTAGGCATTTTCACATATGTGATCTCATTAAATTCCCATAATGATCCTGAGAAATGGGTATTACTTTCCTCCTTTCACAAATAAGTAAATGAGGTCTAATAGGGGCATTATTGAGTGATTTGACCCAATAGGTAAATAGCAGAGCTGATACCTCAGCCAAGCCTGTCTCTCCCCAATCCTTGCTTCTCCAAATACACTAGGCTGTCTCAGTCACGTGGTCTGAATAGATGGAATTTTTAAAAAACAGAATAGAGTAAGGTGGGGGAAGAAGGAAAGGAGAAAAACGTTACAAAACTACCTAGAAAGGCAAATATGAAATATTCAAGATGAAGCAAGAGGAAGCATTTGCTGGGGAGCGGGGGAGCTGGAAGGGGTTAGAAAGAATGAAAAGGAATTTCAGATCAGTGGAGTCAGAGATGGGGGTGTGTGGGGACCCTCTAGGAGAATAAATTACATCAATCATGAACTGTAACTAATTAAATCAATAATGAACTGTGACTTAGGAGGAGAGGGGAAGGGTGAGAAGAGTGGTACCACTGGCCACAAGACAGGGTATCAGAGTGTGAATAGGGAACTCCTAGCATCCTGAGGGTAGGTGGGAAGGGTTGGGGCAGAAAGGTGGCGTGCTGTGGCAGAGAGAGCAAGGACTTAGGAGTCAGGCAGATGTGTGTTCCAACACTTGGTTACTGCATGATCAAAGTCAAGTTTCTTAGCTTCCCTGAGCCTCAAACTCTACATCTATCAAATGGGGATAACAAGCCTCCCTCCAGATGTTGCTGGTAATTAGACATCAAAACAGCAGTTATAATTTATTGAGCACCTATTGTGTTAAGCACTTTGCATAATGGTTTCTGAAGCCTCACTACCACCAGGAGGCAGGAATTGTTATCATCATTCATTGATGTTCTGCATAAAGTTTTGAAGCTGCAGAGTATGTGTTCAGAAATATGAGTTCTTTTCCTGTGGTTGTTCCCGATTCGACACTGCCTACTAGATAACTTAGGTCCTCCTTCAAAATGAACTGCAGATTCCTTGCCTGCCTTTTTTGTCTTGTCTTCAATGTCTCCTCTCCCTCTCAGTGAACTTCCTCCATTTCCCTTCATGAGCTTTGCCCTCGCTGCCTTCCATTTGTTTCCACTTTCTGTTCTCGGTCAGGTGTGTTAGTCACAAGCAACAGAGACCAATTCTGATAATTTAAGCAGTAACAGAATTCAGTAGCGATATTACTCAGAATATCCAGGAGGGCACGGTATCTGGGCTGAAAGTCTGTGAAGCTGAGAGCAGCACTCCAAATCACATCACAGAACTGGCTGATGGAGCTATTGTTGTAGCTGCAGCCAGGCACCAAGAAGGCATTTCACACTTTTGACACCAAATGACACTGGGCTCTGAGCAGCAGTGTTAGAACCATTTCTACTAGTGATGAAATCTGGATGTAACTGCCCCACCTGTTACCACTTTGGTCCCCAAGTGGATTCTGCCTAATTCCAGCTTCCTTCCCAGAATCTGGGGTGGGTGAATCTGATTGGTGAATTCTGAGTCATGTGCTCAAGTCCTAGATGCAGTGGAGGCTGAAAGTAACTGGAAATTGTAGCCTCTTCATGGGAGGTGGGCTGTGGCTTAGAGAGTAAAGCCCCCTCTAAGGGATTCATCCAGATGCTGAGCAGTTGCCAGGAATGC